TCTTTCCCTGTTCTTTGCATAGCTAACTCCTTCTCATCTTTCAGGGCTCTACTTGAGTGTCATCCCCTTGAAAGGCCTTCCCTAACTACTCTCCCCCATCCCCTGCTTCTTTCCAGCACTGCGTGGTTTCCTTTTTCTTTATAAAAATCAACATAGTTTGGGATCGTGAATTTATTTGTTTGAGTACTTGAGTTTTGTGTCTCCCCAACAAGACTAAGCTCTACCAGGGTAGGAATTAATGTATATCCAGGGTACATTTGGGCTATCATTAAACATTTGATAAGTGGATTAATGATTAATGAATTTGGGTTCATGGCTCATATCCCTGACACGCTGGTAGCATCCAACACAATTACTTGCACAGGGTAGGCACTCGATAGATATCTATTAATCTGACCTAGATGAAGATGATAGAGTTTTATAATCTATCAAAAACAGTTCTACAATACAGCATAATTACTGTAACAAATGGCAGGAAACCTGTGCATTTCCTTGGAAGGCAGGATGTGGGAAGATTTTATACATATCTGTAGGACAGAAGGTCAGGAAATGATGTCTTAGGTTTTTTTAATCAGTTGATTTAAGGCTTCAGTCATCAAGTTTATAAATCAGCTACGACTGAGCTTATTCCTTGCATTCAAAGGGCGGAAAGCCACACCAGTAGTGGGTCTCACCATCTTTTCTCACAGCGTCACATCTTTTCTCAGTGATGTGAATGGCAATCAGATGCTTTCCCTGCTAAGTGCATGCCTACCCTCTTGGCCACATTCTGTCCACCATTGACTGAGATTCTCACTGAGTTAAAATTAGACAATGTTAAGGATCACACTGCCGATCTTCTCAATTTATACTTTAATAATTGAGGATTGGAGATACATCTAAAATAAATCCAAATGGAATATCCACAGTTGCACAGAAAGCAGTGGTACCCAGGTCTCCCGATCGTACTTTCTGCAATACCAGGCTGCCCAGTCCAGCAGGAGTCTGACCACCTGAGAATATTATCAGCCAGAGTACTGCCCTTAAAGTATCCACCACACCCCAGGGCCATGTTTGCAGAACCCCCTCTGTTCTTCATGTTTCTTTGATAATTATGGCTTCCATTTATCTTGTGTTCAAAATTGTCCTAAGATGGTTGGTTCTAATCCAGAGCCCTTGGCCTCCCCTAAAGCCTCGTGCAGAAATTTGCATCTATAGTTTCATGAGTATTTATTAGGGAAAGTATGCATCTCTATCATTAGCTTATTAAAATGGTTGTAACCTAAAAAGCTAAGATCCATTGACTTAGAGCAGAGGCATTCAGTAGAACTTTCTGTAATGATGGAAAGGTTCTAATGTCTGTGTCATCTAATACAATAGACACCAGCCTCTTGTAGCTACTGAGCACATGAAATGTGGCTAAGGAGACTGAGGAACCAAATTTTTTATTTTATCTAATTTTAATTTAAATAGCCGCATGTGGCGAGTGGCTCCTATGCTAGAGACCATAGACCTAGAGAATCACTTAAAGATCTGAGCAGAAAGTCGGGGCACCTATGTTTAAAAGACTCTAGGTAAACTGTCCTTGTATTATCTGGAAACCCTCTCTGCCTCTCCGAGGAGTTTTATTATGAAAGTCACCTTCATAGAGGAGCCCATTAATTCTAGATCATTAGAGGCTTAGGGTGGGAAGATGGGAGAGAAAAATATAGAAGTAATAAGATATGATTGGGCAGGAAGAGACCACTGGCCATTGGGGGTCACAGCAAAGAAAAGAAGGCGGGCAAAGCCTGGAGCTTCGTAGACCCTTGCCACAAGGTCCAGCACTGATTGTAAGACTTCTTACTTGAATCTTCAGAGAAAAAGTCATTTTTGCCTACCTGATGGGAATCCTAGAGTAAAGCATCTAGAAAAGATCTCAACAATTAATTTTCTAAGTTGTCAATTTAAGACTTTTGGTCTAAGGTAATCAGCTATTTTATCTGAAATAGCCAAAAATCTTTGGGAGAGAAAGCAAAATGCAATTATTAAGACTAAAGATCTCAGTGACATACTTTCCAGGCTCTTGAGTGAGTGCTCGCAAGGGGAACAGAGAGTCCATTGTAGGACGAGAGAGTCCCACAAATCACAGAGCCCTGAGTATCGAGTGCTCTACTTACCGACGAATGTGAAGTTAAACTCACGACTATATCTTGAACAGTTGGCAGCTTGGGCTTTGCATTTGTAGGGACCCAAATCATGGGCTTCCGAGATGCTTAGATTAAAAATCACAGGTTCACCTTTTCCTTCCTGGGTTCTTAGGTGTTGGTTGTGCCGAAACAAAGAATAGGAGGAGATCTGTGGGGACTTGTTCTGGTTGAAACAAATTAGAGATACATTTTGACCCTTCATGACTACTTTCGTTTTTGAGTTCAAATGTGGAGAAATGAATTCTGGAAGACAAAATAACACAAGAGAAAATTCTTGTTACCATCCCTTGATAGTAACTCAGTGGTCTTCTGGCCACATTTTGTGGTAAGGTGGTGGAGACACTGTTCCTGGTGAACTTTCCTAAGGGAGGCATGTCTTGCCTGTACTGCCAGGCCGACCAGTGTATGAGGGAGCCTCGATGAGGGATGGGTGGCCTTGGCAAGCTCTTCTGTACTAGCTCCCTTTCTTGCCAGTAAGAGCCGGAAGTGGACTCTCTAAAGACTGGTATGCTGACTTAGAAATATTAAAGTTCCAGGTTCTATGACCAAATATGTCTGGTGGCTCGTTTTGTCCATAGTTTATTTTAAACATTTTGGAAAATAGGAATTCTTAAACATAATAATAGAGAAGAGAGTGTAATGATCCCTCATGGGCCTGTCACCCAGCTTCAACAATTATCAACCCATCGTTGGTCCTGTTTCACATGCCCCCACCCCTTTCCATTGTTTTAAAGCAAACCCCAAACCACATGCTATTTCATTCATACAGTTCAATATTGAGAAAGAGAAAAGCAGGCCTTGACAGTTGGGAACTGGACTGGTTAAGAACTGACCTGTCACTCACAGCTAGAATGTCAACACCAGACAGGGCCACTCTATGACCACGAGAGATCAAGACAAAAACAAGACGACTCTTTAATCATGTCTGACCACAGATAAAGTCATGAATGTCATCCAAAGCACAAAAATGGCCAAACATACCACTAAAATGATTAAGAAATAGTGTGACTGCTGCTTCTTTATCAGTCACAGCTTTTTTTTTTACGTTTCTTTTTTATTTAATTAATTTTTTTAAGGATTTAAATCCTTAAAATTACTTTTCTTTTTTATTTAATTAATTTTTTAAGGATTTAAAAAAATTAATTAATTTTTTATGGTGACATCAGTTAATGAAATCCGGTAAGTTTCAGCTGTACATTTATCAGTCACAGCTTTCGCTTTGCTGGTTTTTGCCTTTTAGGAAACAATTATTAAGATACCCAATTATATCATTATTTCCACTTCCTAAAAGAATACAATCCAGAGTAAAGCCTGTTGCTTTGTATCTTCTTCCAAATCACCTAACAGAAGTCCAAATCTTGTAAGACCTTTCTAACACCCTCTTGCTGAGACATCCCATGATTCCCACGGTATGCATTTTCTCCTCAAACCCAGCTTTGTTCAACTACATGTGTGTCCCTGGTGACCTTTGGCTAGAGGACATTGATAGTTCGTATCTCTCATTAAAAGATAAGGACTCTTTTGTAAACATAACAATACCATTGTCACACCTAAAAATTAACACTGTTTTAAAAATGTATCAAATATCTAGTTAGTGTTCAAATTTCCCCAATTGTCTGATTCTTTTTTTTGGGCAGGGGGCGGGGGATCCAAAATGATAATTAACTGTAATTCATTTTAATTAACCAATATATTTCATGTCTTTTTAAATCTATAGACTTTTCCATCTCTTTCTCTCCCTCAGCAATTTATTTGTTGAAGATAACAAGTTCTTTGTTATTTCATGTTTTCCATGGGTTTTGTTGATCCCATTGCCATGGTATCATTTACCACGTTCCTCTGTCCTTGACAAGAGGCTTGATGAACTTCAGATTAGCTTTTATTTAGCAAGTATGCATCACAGGAGGTAGTGTGTCCTTCCATTAAGAGGCACATAATGTTTAATTATCTCTCTTTTTGTTCATTAGTGCGTTTGACAATAATTACCTGAGAGCATTATTCATTAGAGGTTGCAAAATGGTGATATACTAATTCTGTTATTTCTTCTTAATTTATCATCTAAAGTTATCTGAAGAGAAACTTGCCTTTGTCAACTCTTTGGTTGCACTGAGGTAACAGTTTACGTAGAAAAGGCAGAATAAATGCTTGGCTCTTGCCCTTTTTTGACTGGTTTTGAAAATAATGAATTGATTCCCTAGAATCTTATAACTGTAAGATATTTTTCTCATATTGTTATGTTTGTTTAAGAATCATTATGAACTCATAGATTTAAATGACTTTAATATGTTTCAATCTACCGAGGTTATTTGTCTTATTGTTCCATTTTTGAGACATAGGAAGCATCTCCATACCAGCTCCTAAGTTTTTTTTTTTGACATGATCCCAGTAATCTTTGACAGCTTGTATATTTGTATTTTATAATTTAAAAATGCCGGGGGAGCGGGGGACCTCATCAGAAAATCTAATATAAAGAAATTGTATTTGTATTTTATAATTTAAAAATGCCGGAGTGGGGGGGACCTCATCAGAAAATCTAATATAAAGAAATAAGACTGTAAAAGAATTAAGAGGAATATAGGGAAATGTTTTTTACATCATCTGCTAGGAACAGATCTTCTAAGGCACACAAAATAGGAGCCATAAAGAAAAGATTGAAAAAAATTGACTACCCTAAAACTTTAAACTTCTCTATGGCAAAATTGAGATAAGTGACAGCCTAGGAGAAAATACATAAATGAAAGCAAAGGATTCTTTTTGTATACACAAACCCATAGCAAATCAATAAGAAAAGATACATTATCAAATAAATGGGCAAATAACCTGAATAGGTAATTCCCAGAAGAAGAAATTTAAAAGGCCTTAAATAGTGCTGGGGCCTAGGGATCGCATGGGTGGAGGAGGGTTTAGACCACTGAACATGCCATGCACCTCCTTCTCACTCTTTGATCTGGACAATTAACATTTTCTGTTATGTAAGCTCAGCTTCAAGATAAGACCTCACCTCTCTTGCCAACCTGGTAGCCATCCATAAATTTCCTTTATATATGAAAGCTGGAGCTTTCATGGTCAATAAACATGAAAAAAGATGCTCAACTCTACGAGTGAGGAGAGAACTGCAAATTAAAACAATACTGAGATTATTTTTTATTCATTAGATTGGCACAAATTAAAAAGTGATTGTATTCACCCTTGGAGAGGGGGATTGGGACACACACTCATCCATGTGAGTGGTCACCATTGGTGACCATGTATAGGTTCAGTATGTTGAGAGGACAACTTAGCAGTATCTGTAATAATTTAAATAGAGATGCCTTTCGACCCAGCAATTTCACTTCTAGGATCTTATCCTACAGAGATGCTCTCACACTCTCATGTGTCCACAAAGGATGTTTTGTACAAGGATATTCATTGCGGCATTGTTTATGTTACCAAGAAAGGGAACACTCAATAAGGAATGGTTAAATGAATTATGGCCGAGTCATGTGAAATGCCATTTTTTTGGGTGAATAAAAAGCTAAATGTACATTTACTACTTAAAAAGATGTCTGTGAAAAGGACAAGTCACCGAAGAGTTTGTTTACTGTGATCTTGAATAGAAATTGACTGTTGATAGCTCTTGCTTTGAGAAGTGGAGAGGAGAGAGGGATTGGAGGGGGTGTAACAGAACTTTCGCATTTCATATACTAACAACAGCCTAGGCTGGCATTTCTTGATAGCTCACCATATACCAGGCACTGTGCTGAGGGACACGCCTTGTCTTACTCAGTCCTCACAACAGCTTCCCCCCCTCCCCACAGGTAGGCACTTTTATTAACTCCACTTTACACGGGAGTACAACTCCCTCCCTAAAATCATTTCATTTCAAACAGGTAATGGAAAAGACTTCACTCTTTGGTTGTTCATCTAAAAGCCTAGAAAAACTTATTCGCGAACGATCATGTTTAAAGCTGACCATCCACTGTTTCGGTGAAGTTGTTTTTAGTGCAAGAGAAAGATAAATGAAACTTACTGTTTGTTCCTGTTCTCGTCTCACAATCCAGTGCAGCATTTAGAGCCGAAAGAGAGAAAAGACACACAAGAAGACTCTTTTTCCACATCACGGTTTGGTTTGGAGACTCGAGTCTTAGATGTGACAGAAGAAAAAAATGCCCCAAAGGAACAATCCCTTCAAATGACTCCAACTCTCTCCCAGATGAAATCAAAGAAGAGGACAAAGGGGGCGTGGAGGCACCATAGTGGTGAGTCGTTTAGACAACTTCCTCCTTTCTGACGAAGTTAAAGAAATTACAGTTGTCTGCACAAGCTTGACACAACGACTGGTTGGTTTGGCCAACGTGTATTCCTCAATGAGTTTTTGTAAGAAGAGAGTTGCCTCCAACTCAGGCTAGATGGGAAGTTGAACAGTGAGAGAAAGAAAGTTAGACATATGGCCATTATATTATCTTTGTATAAACCTGCCTGATCATCTCTCTCTGGATGTGTCCTACATCAAAAGGAATTTAATGGAAGGTTGGTTTCGTCTCTGAGAGCAAACATTGGCTATCTAGAGCACACACACAAGCATGACATCATAAATGCCCGATTTTGATCAGTGCTGATTCCTAGGCCCCACTCCAGACTTGCAGGTGATGAAACCTGGGGCTCTGAATTTTAACAAGGGCCCCAGCTGTCTCAGAGTCTCTAAACGACATCCCAGGGTGTACCATGGTTCACTTCTACCTGACTCAGAATTCTCCCGGCTCTGAAGTAAATCCACATATTCTGGGGTCACCAGTCTGAAGTGAGGGGTGGGAAGTACTGAGAGTCTTCCCAAGTGGAGGGAGCTGTGACTGGGCCACTCGGGATTGGCCCTACAGGTCTTGCACATGGACAGGTATCCTCTCTGTGAGGAAGCCAGGTTCCTGCCCAGGTGTGAGTTGTTCCAGGACACCATTCAACCTCCAGTATCAACTTATCCCAGGTGCTCCTTGCTCGGGCTCCCCAGGTCCCAGCCTGTGGTGGCCAGTTTTTCCCAGTCTCATACGTAGCCACCACTAGGGGTCTGAACAGAGCCAGGGTCTGCTTCTGTCACCACCATTTCCACCTTGCCTGGCTGACATTATCTGGAAACAAATCATCTTATTTAGTCCTCAGTTTGTAAAAGTCCCTTTATTCCTTTCTGACAGTAAAAGTTATTTCTGAGGCACCCACTCTTTAAACAAAAAACGACACTCAGTGATTGACAGTGATTTTTCAAATTGTGGCAATTTCTTTTACTATAGAGGAGGGAGGGAAAAAAACCCTGCACGTTTCATTTCTGGGGTGACCCTGGAAATATGCCAGAATTTCTGCCACAGGGAATTGGAGGTTTGGTTTTTGACACTTTACCCACCATCATCCATCCTTGCCTGGACAGAGGGTAGAGCTGGGTTCCTGAGAGCCATCCTGCCTGGGAGGACTGGGGGCCTTTTAGAAATGCTGACGTGTCTGGGACATTTCTGTGTGTGGAACTTTCAGATGGGGCAGGAAGCTGGTAGACCGCAGTTTGAATGCAAAGACAGCCAGGAAACCAGCGGAAGTGCTACTTAGAGCTGTTAGTAAACGTTGCTAGGAGTGCTTTCGTGAGGCCCCTGGAAAAGGAACACAATCTGTTAAAGTTTAGACAATAAATCAGAAGTGACAGCTCAAATGGAAACAGAAAAAGTTCATCCATGGACCTGGCATGTCCCTTGGGGCCCAAATCCACATTGTCGTGGTCCACAGTAATTCAGCTTATCGATAATACTGATAACAATAAATATAGTCATACAAACAGTAAAGTTAGTATATTCTTTCCTGTTATCTAAGAGCTTTACACTTATAATCTCAATTTTTACAAAACCTCTGTGAGGTAGGCAGAGGTATTATTGAAAACATGTAACAACCAGTAGAGTTATATAAATATGTAACTCGATGCATGGACCAAAATTTTAAAATATATTCCATCATCACCCCTACTTTATCTCTAAATAACCTAAGCTATATTACAAAAATACTTAGCAAGTGATATAAATTTTCCTGTCAATCATTGATGGAATCATTCTCATAATTGTCAAAATTTTGTTGGTGTTTGAAAATGGTTGATGTGATCTTTTGAGACAGAGCTCACTGGGATCATTAGACATGAGGAGCTGCCTTTGTTCAAAAGTTCAAAAAGTCATTGAACTTTTCCAATGCATTCCATGAAATCAGTGGCCATTAATTAATATGTAGTCTCAATAAATAGAGAATTTCTCATTATGTCACTGATATTGTTCATGGTTTTAAATCCTCAGCCCCTAGTGAACAATAACAATGACGAAATTTATAGTCCTTATGATGCTGTTTGAAAATTTTCTATATCCAATATTTCTACTATCTTATATTTCTAAATCACAAAAATCATTTAATCTGTTGGCTTAATTTTTGTTATCCTTCTACAGAACTTTGCAAATACCATTTGGTAAAGTGTCAGGATTCAATAAATTTAAATGACTTTAGAATTTATTTTCACTTTTGCCCTCAAGCAACAAATGCATTTACACATAGTAATTTATTTTAAAATATTCTATTTTTTCTTTTCGTATTGATTTGTTACAAGTGGTATCCATATTTCTTCATTTTTATAGTATCTTCTACTTTTCTTTCATTTATCAAATTAATCTTGTAAATCTAAAATTATTAAAACCTATGTTAGAATACCACTACTTAGGGATAAAGCTCTCTAAAATGTTTCCTTTGCCAAAGATTTTACTATTTCCACTAAAATAAACATGCAAGACTTCATCGTCTCCAAACTTTGTGCCACTGCAGCACTTCAAGCTCTCAGTAAGGTCCAGTAACCTCCCAATTTTCATCATCTTGATTCCCACGTCTTGAGATATACTACTGCTTAATTTGATGAAAGATGGTGAAAAGTTATCAGGAAAATACTTTAAGTGATTGACATGATTCACATCTTTAATTACACCCCTCAGAGCTAGGGGGTTAGACGCTACTGGTCTGAGGACAGGAGCTTGAGTAAGAGAGCCTGAGATGGCATTGAGGGAGTGATTGAAGGAGGACAGGGGACTGGCAAATAAGACAGGAAAGGGGAAGAAACTAAATAGAGATAAGGATTCCGCTGAAATTGACTCACTGCCTGATCCCATGGAGAGAGCTGGGGTGTGAGTTGTACCATGGGGTTTGATTCATCTGGTGGCAAGGGAGCTGGCTTTTACTCTGCCCCCTCATCATTTAGTCACTGGTCATGTGCCTGGGGGTGGCGGCGGGGGGCGGGGGAGAATATGCACAAAATCACCCAGGGGTCTCTGGACAAGCTGTCCTCGAAAGAGGCTGAGCCAGTCTGCCCAGTCTGGAGGAGGGCACCTAGGCTTCAAGACCGTAGGCACCCACCACCAAACTACAGAGTCTAGAAACAGTTTCTAAAATCTTGGCTGAAGCTCCAGATCTCCCATATTTCCTTTCTACCCTGCTCTAGTACTCCTACTGTGTACAAAATCCAGTAATGTTTTCAAGGAACATCAATGAAACCATATTTCTCAAGCGTGACAATAAAATTTGGATATAGTATTTTAGATCTTCCTTTACCTTTAAAAGGTGAACAACAACCAATAAACTATTTTCAAAGTCTTGAATTTTACATTTTAAGTAATTTTAAAATACATACTATGGAAATAGTTGAAGTTTTGGAAAAAGTGATGGAAATTTTATGGCCTTAATTTATAAATTTTCCAAAATTTGTTTTATTTAAATAGTTATGTTTTATAACACGCAGGGTCATTAATTTAAGTCATAATGGTACATCCATGCTTTTTTATTCTTTTTTGAAATTCTATTTCATGTCTAAAAATAATTATTTATAACCATACATTAGATTGTGTTAAAAGTTCTGATAACGCTTTCTGATTATTCTCACTTGCTTTATAGATACAGTTTTGATTTGAAAATTTACAGAATTTTTATTTCAAATACATGTGTGAAACCAATGTAAGGTATTCTTTTCATTATTTCGCTCACCAAGATTGTACGATTTATTAGAGCCATGAGCTTTACCATAATACATTTACCATTCTGATTAAATATGTTTGGTATGTTCAACTTTTCATATGACAACTTCTGAGCCTCATTTATGCACAACACAACTCTGAATGCTGTTCATATTTTTTGTTATAATAATCAAATTGTTTTTCATTCCAGAAATAGAAATCATTTACTTTATTTTGTACTGTTTCTAGTACAGTGTAAAAAGACATTCGGGGCTGTTCTCATTTGGGCACTATAGCAGAAGATGTTCTGGCCTGCAATTTGCTATTCATCTCATTTCTTATTTGTTCCCAAAGATTCTGTACTTGGTTGACTGGTCCCTCCCAGACTTCATATCTACCCGGAACCTTAAAATGTGAGTTTATTTGGAAATGAGGTCTTTGCAGATGTAATGAGTTAACATGAAGTCACTGGTGTCCTTAGAAGAAGGTAGCTTTGTGATTCCTCGTAAGGGCTGGGGCTGATGGGGCCTCTGGTAGTATCCCCTTGTCTGCAGTTCTCCTGTATCCAGGATGGCCTAGGCTACTGCCAAGGAGGAGTCTCCATTCCTGGGCCCCAGAGTCAGGTGAAATGACTCCCCACCCCACCGCATCTCAGGGAAGGGCTGCTGAGGATTCTGGGAAGACGGGGTCAGTTCACAGGCCAGCTGCTGGCCTTGCCCTCCTTCTCCTGATTCTTCTTGGGACTTGCTCCAACTTTCTACAACTGTAAATAGTTATCTTTGATGTCCATGCCTGGACAGGGCTGGTGACTTCCCTATTGAGGTCACCACTCGGAAACTACACCATGTGAATGGACTCAGCAGGGTCTTTCTTGCCTCTCTGAGTTTGCTGCGCCCTTGTCTAGAGTCTTTAAACCACCAAAGGGAAGGATCTAGCACTTACTGAGCACCTCCTGGCCAGGGGCCAGCCCATCAGATGGGCCAGTTCACGCAATCCTCATAATAACGCTATGAGTTGTTTGGTTTCACAGATCAAAAACTGTTCAGGAACAGACCTAGGTCTCCAGCTGGTAGGGGTGGATCTGGAGTACTCTAACCAGGATGCCTAGTTAC